TGATTTCTACGCCAGAAAGGAAGGAGACGTCGTCGCATGACTTTAGATAGACGGAAGAAATCATTTTTTTCATACGGAGCACAGTTTCAGACGTTCCATTGATGCGATGGCACCCCAGACCATGAGACCACATCCACTGAAGTTCCGCCCGGAAAAATGAAACTTGTCTTCCCTCAGGTCGTGCCAGTTTTCCAGTTTGCCAGACGGAATCGGTTTTCGTCTGAGCCGTCGCAGTTGAATTTTTCTCATCAGAAAACACGACCGCGAGAAAAAAAACTGAAAAAAGCAACACAGACAAGCAGTAGGGCACCGCAGCCAAAAGCTACCCTCACTCCAATCGGTTCGGCAACATCTTCGAGCGAAGCCAATTAAGGTTTTCGCGATGGTTTTTTGTTAGAAACAGTGCCTAACTCATATTCCTCCTGTAGGTGAACTCAGGAGTTTTTCAAGACACGCCTAACAGTATCCTTCGAGACATTAACCTGCGAAGATGACTTAAAGACACATGGTACGCTCAAACACATTGAGGGTGTATGAGACTATCAGCCCCCAGCTGTCGATGTGTCGTGGTCCCCCGCCCAAAACTGCACGGGGTCAGAGTACGGGGCCGTGGGAAAGTCGTAATTCCTTGCTACGCCGCCCGTTTCGCAAACTCACGTTTTTACTAACACCGTCCGCGCGGCGCGTGTCGCGTGCAGCTCTCTTGGCTTTTTGCCAAGTCCTGTAATTGCGCTTTGGAATACAAGTACAACGCAATTTCTTTATGCGGATAACATTTTAGGTGCTGCAAAATAAGAACCGAAGATGATGACGAGGGCTAGAACTCAAGAGCAACTGTGGTGCTTCTGCAATATCCCTCAGAGGCCGCGCATTCCCACAGAACATGACAATAAAAACGGACAACATGACAATAAAACATGACAATACAAGCAAAACGCAATTTCCTAACATTTGAGGTATTGCTCATGCTTCAAAGTCCGAATAGAAGGTGATGAAGATGACAAAGGCTAGAAATGAAGAACAACGAATGTAGATGTAAATAAACAAAATTGAAAAAACTAAGGAAACAAATTAAATAAAATCGCGTGTGCATTTCTGCGATCCGGCTCGAATCCGGCTCTAAAGCTATAGAAATACTTCAAACTAACGAGTGGGACGCTTAGGCCGTTTTTATTGTCATGTTCTGTGGGAATGCGCGGCCTCTGAGGGATATTGCAGAAGCAGCACAGTTGCTCTTGAGTTCTAGCCCTCGTCATCATCTTCGGTTCTTATTTTGCAGCACCTAAAATGTTATCCGCATAAAGAAATTGCGTTGTACTTGTATTCCAAAGCGCAATTACAGGACTTGGCAAAAAGCCAAGAGAGCTGCACGCGACCGCGCCGCGCGGACGGTGTTAGTAAAAACGTGAGTTTGCGAAACGGGCGGCGTAGCAAGGAATTACGACTTTCCCACGGCCCCGTACTCTGACCCCGTGCAGTTTTGGGCGGGGGGACCACGACACATCGACAGCTGGGGGGCTGATAGTCTCATACACCCTCAATGTGTTTGAGCGTACCATGTGTCTTTAATTTCCCGACACGACACTGCAGAGTTGGATGCTTTCCTCAGGATACGGCGCTTATTCCGATCGGGCAGCAAAGGAGGATGTCCAGAGCTCTTCTCAACTCAATATCCTGTAGGTTCCTTGACAAAATTGTTGATAGCATGATGAGTGCGGCCCGAATCCCGCGCGATTCGACGGTTCGACAGTTTTTGAGTCTTCTTTGCGATAATCTGTCCTTTTTCGAGGTCCATTAATGAAGTTCCACTTGCCATAGCAAAGGCAAGAAGTCATAATGATGAGAAGTTTTACCTAACAAAAATGAGATGCAGCGGAAAATATGCGGTGGAACTATCATTTTGCTGCATTGTCAGAACGACCATTTTTGAAAAAATTGACGAAAAAATTTTTTTTCAAGCTAGAGTTTGGTGTTGGCATGCGAATTGGTATTGGTAATTACCACATTTTTGTATGGGGCATTTTTGAAAACGTCGTGTAAGACGGGATTTTGTGAGATTCATGGGTGGAACTATGATTATGCTTTGCAGTGTATACTCGCAATTCTCATGTTATAAATCTATGTACCATGTCCTAGTCATCGACGCTGTAGGTATTGTACATTGCATTCTTTTTTTAGTCATAAGTCTTTTCAAGCTCGAGTCATAACGAGTCAGAGCCCGATTCCTCATATATTGTCATTGAGTGAGCCTGAACCTTGGTCACTTCATTCTTCACAGTTCAAGCACTGGCAATCTGTTTTTGTTGCAATAGAGCTGTGCTCATATTTATGAGAGAGTTCAGACCTGTATTGTTCTTTCAATTTACACACCGAAAATAATAAAATGTCGTATATAATAACTACTGGCCCTCGGTGGTTCTATTGATAGGATATTGAATTCACCAGATGAGCACACCAGTATAAGCAGCACGGGTTTATGTGGGACCTCAAACTTGGGTAATTAAACAAAGCACGAATAAGTGATCATTAGAACAAGCAGAAACAATCAATAAATCGAACTAAACTAATTGGATTAGAAATAAGTGAAATCCAAACTACTCTATTGTTAAATGGAACAGTTATGAAAAATGTGTAAATGTTAAGTAAGTAGATCAATCAAATCTTCCAGTTTGAAAATTACACCATAAATCGACCATTGCATAAATGTTAAAGACAACGATGAGAGTGAGAAGTGAGAAGGGAATGAGTCAAACACAAGGCCCTTTATATGCACCTCCGTCGCAGCTGTAGAGTCCGACCTCGTGTCTTTCCATACAAAAGAAGTGCCATCTGCAGCCACGTGCCGAGTCTAGCCTGGGAAGTGCTGAACGCTAAGCTGAAATGAAGCCAGATAAAAACACAAAGCTAAACATTACGGTGCATCAGTAATCAGTAAAAGGCGTGAAAATCGCGGTTATCCGCGATATTCCCGCCGACGCCAACTCACGTGCTTAGGCGTCTTCCGGAAGCGCCTCCAACTCTCTTTCGCGCTCTCGAATTTCTTCACTGCGTCTTGCTATTGCATTGTGTTCCGCAGTCAGCTGATCGAGAAGGCGCTGACTACGTTCTGGCAGATCGCACAGTGCCGAGTGGTGAGTGGTATCTCGGCAATGGAAGCAGCGCACGTTCAGCTTCGGGCAACGCTGGCCCCCTCCACACCGCTCCAGGCAGTGTTCGCACTTTCCGTCGTTTACAGCAGCAACTCCTCTGATGTCTCACAGTGACAAGCGTCCGAGTATGCATCGCAAAAGCCTCACTTCATGTCTGTCACGTCTCTGGTGAATGACTCCTCGCTTGACCATTCGCCTCTGACAAAAAAGCTGTCTCATCATATCCTGGATAGTATACGAAGAGACTACCTGTTCCCGGCGCAGTCGGCAGGAGCTTCCAACAGAATTTGACGCCTAGTGCGACATTGTGCGCTTGATTCACAGGGTGACGGCCCATCTCTCGTGCGTATCTCTGGACAGCCCTTGGTTCCTCGATGCCACGGGGGTTCTCAGCATGTTCATGTTGCTGCTCCGCCCTCGGCTGCTCAACGTCGCGGGGGTTCTCAGCTTGTGCTTGCTGCTCTTCTATTGCAATGTCATCGCTGTCGTCACTGGAATCGCTGCTGTCGTCTTCGCTGGATGCGTCGCTGTCGTCATCGGTGCTTTCATTGCTATCACTGTCACCTGCATCCTGTATCGCTTCCATAAAGTGCGCATTCTCCGCGATGACCTGGCGCTCTTGTTGCTGCGCAGGAACTTCTTCAGCTGGACGTTGCTCGGGATTTTGCCTCACGAGCACACTCAAGTCGTCGATGGCACTGTGCAGTCCCTGTATTTCCTCTCTTACTTCATTCAATTCTCGACGGACGTCTTCCATATCCAAAATTTGTTAGGCTCATGCGCAATTATTAATTTGTTGGTTTCCCTTTACTTTTCTCTTTTGGATAAGATAAAGTAAGTTAGTAGATAATGGCCAAAAAATATTGATTTCCTAGCAACTAGTGAATATTTTCTAAACTTGTGTCTACGCTTGAAAAATCGATTCTTAGCGGCTAAGCTGTTTTCTTCTCGTGCACTCGTAACTTGAAACAGAATTTTACAGTGGTGCTGACAACTGCGAGAACAAGGCGGGGAGGCAAATGACAGGAGTCTCAGGAGTACTTGTGCGCATACCGCATGTGCTCACATATAAGTAAGTCAGTGCAACTGCCAGTGCGACCGCTACCACTGCAATGAGCAAGGTCTTGTACCACGTAAGGATGGTATCGATGATGTGGCCAAAATCGGGCCACTGGAACTCGTTGAAAACGGTGTTGTTTACATCCAGTGTTGCCATACCCGGGTAGTGGAACGTGTTCACATATTTCAGTACTCCAGTAATTAAGAACCCGTTCTCAAAACGTCCACAGGATATCGTGCAGTTCAGAATTTGTCTGGCAGAGTCAAGGTGGAAGCGCAGTTCTGACTCTGGACCGTGTGGCGCGCACGGGATTACGAAAGCATGTTCAGTACACAATACCTCGCCAAAAATTTCTGTAGCTGAGGTGCAAAGGCTCCCCGAATTTCCCAATAGGGTGTCTTTTTGGGGAGTTTATGTTGAAGCTGATCGAATTCTCTAGTAAATATATGTGCTGACGTGCAGTGACATGAAACAGTGGACTCGGCCGGGGCGCAGTTGCAGTCATCCACTACTGTGCAATTATGCGCTGCGCTTTTTCTCTAGAGTCGCAAATGAGATTTGGAGTGATGGCCCCTGTCCCATACTGCAGTGTCCTCACCATCAGTGAAGAACGTGCTACTCAACGCTGGTGTT